TATCATGGCAAGAAACTTAATTAACTGTATTCAGCATCTTTAGCAATTCTAAATTAGATATCTTAGATGACCTGAATTCCAACCAACCCATGGCAAATATTAATTTAACCGACAACCCTTTTAGTCTAATTCCAACAAAGGGTCTGACTTTCTTCCATTTAAATATTCAGGCTATCACAAATAAATTGGACCAAGTTAAGCTTATGATTTCTGAATCCATAAGGCATAGGAAGAAAAGCAACATTATATTAATTTTGTTTCTCTGAAACTCATTTAAATTCTAACTGGTCTGATGACGAATTGCAAATTAGAGAGTTCAACTTCATTAGGAAGGACCGAACTTATGCCTCAGGTGGAGGTATTCTGATTTATATCCCAGAAACAATTAATTTTCAATATCGCAATGATTTCTCGTTACAAGAAAATAATTGTCCGCTTGAATTTATTTGGTTGGAATTTAAGCATCCTAATTCAAAACCCTTCCTGATGGCCATTATGTATCAACCGGGAAATAATACTCTCTGGAGAGATAACTTAAACTATGTATTAGACATGGCTGACAATGAACACAAAGAGATAATTATGTTAGGGGACTTAAACACAAATTTTCAAGATAAACATTCTTATCAACAACTTCATGTTCTAACATCTCAGTATCAGCTTAAACAACTTATTGATGCAGTTACCAGGCCAATATTAGGTAAAACAATTGACCTTATCTTTACCTCTAAGGAAGATAATGTTATTAAATCAGGCGTGCTAGATATTGGGATGAGTGACCATTTGCCAATTTTTATCTCTAGAAAAATTAATTCCAGGATCTCAATTAAACAAGGTTTACATACAACGATTAGTTATCGCAGGAAGAAAGATTTTATTGCCAGTGATTTTGACAATGACCTTGTTGAAGAAATCCCGTTAAGCCTTTATGAAATCTTTGATGATCCAAACGATCTATTAGACTGTTGGTACTCTCACTTTATGAAAATTTTGGATAGGCATGCACATTTAATAAAACGTAGAGTCAGAAATAATAAACTGCCGGGGTGGTTTAATTCTGAAGTACGTTGCTTTAGCCGCAAAAGAGACTTTTTCTTAAAGCAATTTCTAAAAACCAAAAACTTTGACACATGGTGTACCTACAAAAAATGGAGAAATAGAACTGTTCATATTATTAAAAAGTCAAAAGAGGACTACTATAAGAACCTCCTGACTGATAATGTACATAATCCACGACAATTATGGAAAATTCTAAAAGATATCTTGCCGACCAATGACACTGTCTCCCAAATAACACTTAACCTTAATGGCAAGGAGATCAGTGATCCTATCGAGGTTGGCGATCTCTTTAATGAATACTTCTCCTCTATTGCAGACAACTTTGATATCAGTTTACTAAACAACCCAATTAATACTCATTTACCAATTGCAACAAATCATATTAAGTTTACAATTCCACTGATAACAAGCGCGCCATGATGGCTGCCACGGTGTTTTGGCTCTGTCTTATTGCATGCAATTTTACTGTCTTTTTTACATTGAATCTTCAAGATATTTATAACAATATAAATGAAAAGTCTTCTAGTAAAGATCTGGTGACTACATCTAACAATATAAGCTCGTTTTCAACGGTTTTTCTGGTATATTTCTACACGCCTCGTTCGAAGTCAATGAAATGGAACCTGGCACGCAGTGGTTTTATCGGTTGCAGAACTGCTATTACAAAGTGGTCAAAGCATGGAATAATCAACCTTTTGATCCCAGGACATGATCCTCCCGTAGATATAACAATTTACGTGGATATTTGTCGAAATCCTGGCCCTGTACACTCGGGTTTGGAGTCGAATATATCTCAAGGTCAAAGTCAAAATAGCGGAACATTTATGCAAACTGCAGTTGTTGACAAAATAACCTACAATCGAAGCAAGTTACTTGATATCCGCCGTCAGTGTATTACACGAGCCAACCACCATTTATTATCAACACTTAAAGATCTGGGTTTGCTACGTTATAGAGGTTCGCGTGGTGGGAAACGTAAAATCTCTGTCATTATTTCCCCTCGAGGCAGAGAAAGCCGCTCTGCCTGGGGTCATACAACCGGAACGGTGAATTGGAATAATTTGGTATCAATCAAATGTCATCCGGAAAACAACAATAATAAGACTTCTTCTCAATTACCTCATGTCCTACTTAGTAATATAAGATCATTAGTACCCAAGTTTGACGAATTGTCTACGTTTTTAATGTTAAACAAAGCGGACATTGTTGCCATTTCCGAATCTTGGTTGAATGAACGAATAGACTCGTTATTTGTTACTATCGCCGGGTATGATTTATATCGTCTGGATAGATTGAGCGGTCGTGGAGGCGGTGTTTGTGCCTTCGTTTCTGAAAACATACCATGCAAACGGTTACTTGATCTAGAAAACGCAAATTATGAATGTATGTGGCTATGGTTGCGACCTTATCGTCTGCCAAGGCCCCTCTGTGGTATACTCATTGCTGTTCTATATTGTCCTCCTGAAACATGTGCCGATAAACAGCGAGAATTTGTTCATTATTTAAGTGAAACTATTGATAGTGTCCGTGATTCATCACCAGATTGTGGAATAATTGTGCTGGGCGACTATAATAACCTGGATGTAAGTGATTTACTGAGTCAACACAGTTTAACCCAAGTAGTAAAAGATCCTACAAGACTTAAGGCAACACTTGACCTTGTGATCACTAACATGCAGACATGGTATAATGATCCGACCGTAACAGCCCCAATAGGAAGCTCAGATCACAACACAGTTTTATTGTACCCAAAAGCCGCAACCAATAACCCTAACCAAAAGAAGGAAAAATGCTTTGTACGCCGCTTTCCCCAGTCAAGTATTATCGCATTTGGTAGGTGGTTAACTAACCAGGAGTTGTTACGTGATTGCACATCAACAGACGTTCATGAACAAACCCTCACATTCACTAACAAGATCTTGGAAGCTATGGATATCTTTTTTCCATTAAAATCAGTGAAGCTCCATAATTCTGATAAGCCATGGATGTGTTCATCTCTTAAACAACTTATCTTGGATCGCCAAAACGCTTTCCACAACGGTAATATGCCCTTGTGGAAACATTATCGCAATAAGGTAAAACAAGCGATCATATCCCAGAAACAATCATTTTACTCCGAAAAAGTGCGTCATCTTAAACAGACAGATAGTAGGTTGTGGTGGAAACTTGTGAAAAGATTGTCTGGCAATGCAAACACATCGACATCCTTTCACATTGAGAAAAATGGCTCTATCTTAAATGATCAAGATTTAGTTAATGAACTGAATGAATTCTTCACCTCGGTAAATGCTGACATTCCACCACTTAATCTACATAACTTACCTGCGTTTTTACCATCAATAGATCAGAAACCAACTATTCAACCATATCAAGTACGCAATAAACTTTTGAAGCTGATTACAATGAAAGCCCCTGGACCAGACAACATCCCGTCAAAAATTCTAAAGTCTTTTGCATATATCTTAGCAGAACCCATCACTGACATCTTCAACGTTTCATTGTCGTCAGGTGTTGTACCAGAAATTTGGAAACAGGCAAATATATCCTCTATTCCCAAAGAGTCTCCACCTAAAATCCTTTGTGATTTTCGTCCTATTTCCTTAACTTCAACCCTCTCAAAAGTTCTTGAAGAATTTGTTGTTGACTGGATTACTGAAGATATATGTGATAAGATTGATGCCAAACAGTTTGGTAGCCTCAAGGGTGGATCTACAACAAAATGCCTTCTGGATATGCTACACAACTGGCTATCAAATGCTGATAAACAAGGAAATTCGTTGCGAGTCTGTCTTCTCGATTTTAGCAAGGCTTTTGATCGTATTAACATCAATATCCTGATTAAAAAACTCTTAAATTTAGGAGTACGTAGGTGTTTGATCCCTTGGATATGTAATTTCCTATCAGATCGAAAACAGCGAGTAAAACTCGGAGAAACGGTATCGGACTGGATGTCAGTAAATGCAGGAGTTCTACAAGGCACTAAATTAGGTCCTATTTTGTTCCTTATTATGGTAAATGACCTTATTCCACTTAAGAGCGATTATTGGAAATATGTAGACGACATGTCGATTTCGGAGGTAATACCAAGAAATGGTGTTTCAAATATGCAGTCAGAACTGGACCATACATCATCTTGGGCCACTAACAACTATATGAAACTGAACACGAAAAAATGTAAAGAACTTAGAATAAGTTTTCTTCGCGATAAACCCAACCTTTCCCAACTCTACATCAATGGTACTCCAATTGACACTGTCGATAGCGCTAAAGTTCTTGGAATTTCTCTTCAGAATGGCTTGAAATGGAAAAGTCATGTTGACAATATTACAAAGAAAGCTGCTAAACGGTTATATATCATACGTGTCTTAAAGCGTAATGGACTTCCTGTTGATGATCTAATAACAATCTTCAAAACATTAGTCAGATCAATCCTACAATATGGTTGCCCAGTCTGGCACTCGAGTCTTCCGACGTACTTGTCTGATAAAATTGAGAAAATTCAACGAAGAGCTTTCCGAATTATATATCCGTTTCAATCGTATAATGATGCACTTTCAATGTCTGGTTGTCTGTCATTAGCGGAAATAGACAACAATTATCTCAAAAACTTTTTAAACAAATTAAGTCGACTAGTGGTGATTGTCTGTCGTATCTCATACCAGAAACCAGATTTCAGAAACATGGCCGAAAACTTCGAAACAGTGAAAATCTCGACATTTTTAAATGTAACACAAATCGGTTCAAAAACAGTTTTTTCCCAACTAACGTTAGTTACTGCAACTCAAATAGATAAGCTCAAAATATTTTTAGACATTTTATAGTAGTATAGTAAGTTGTAGATATTTATATATATATAGATTTTGGATTCTCTAGATGTAAATGTAAAGTAATTCACCAATTGGTGCCATTTTACATAATAATAAACCATCATTATTATTATTATTATTATTATTAAATCTTGCAGCCGAATTCGACCAGAACAAGTCAACCGGTCTTGATGGTATTCCTGCCTACTTCATCAAGTCCTCGAATAATTCCATTGCACCCATAATACTTCGCATTTGTAACGTGAGCATTGAAAATGTTGTCTTTCCCAACATGTGGAAGAAAGCTAGACTGATTCCAATCTATAAAGCTGAAACACGTACTGAGAGAAACAATTACAGGCCCATTTCTATATTACCGATTCTATCTAAACTCCTCGAACGACATGTTGCCAACTCATATGTAAAATTCTTCACAGAAAATGATATTCTATCAAGTTGCCAGCATGGTTTTCGAGCCCATCACTCTTGTGAATCTACTCTAATATTGATCTGTGAACACCTTCTCGATAACATTGAGCAAGGTTTAATTAATGGTATAGCTCTAATTGACCTCTCCAAAGCGTTTGACCTGGTCGATCATAGATTGCTACTGCAGAAATTAGAACAATATGGCATTACTCCAATAGCTTTAAAATGGTTTAAATCGTATCTAAATGATCGTTACCAAGTAATAGAAATTGCATCATTCCTATCCAACCCAGCTCTGATAAAGTCTGGTGTGCCTCAAGGATCTATACTAGGACCAATTCTCTTTCTTATCTTTATTAACGATGTACCCAGTTACGTTGGAAGTTGTAAGCCTTTTGTAGCTACCAATCAGTGTATGTATAGAGTTCAGTGGGAAAGCCGCCCCATAAAACATTTCGGGTTTGGACGGCCATATTGAATTTTGAACACGAGAAGTAAACATTTTGAGTATTTATAGAACATATATTGAGGATTTTGTTAGTAGAAACTTGCTTTATTGAACGACCGATACAGTCGGTAAGTTTTCGAACACTTATTGTTGACAATTTTAATGTATTTGTATATTAATTTTAGTTTAACTTGCAGAAAACCTGCTGTTTATATTGGTGGAAATAGTAATATACGATATAAAGTGGAAAATAATAGTGGAAAATTGGCGTATATTTGTTGAGTTTTGACTATCGATCGTACGGGCATAACAGTTTTCGACTAAATCGAAGGGTAATACGAAGTTTATTGTTGGGTTTGATCGTATATTTTTGGAATTTTGTGGAAATATTTGGTAAATATTAGTGCGAATATATGTGTGCGTGAGATATAAATATGTCAAAATCATCTGGAACTATATCTGCTGAGGAAACGAAGCAACTGGAAAATAATGAAAATCGTGTGAGTCAAGGTGTAGAACAAATATCTGGTGGGGAAATTCAGGAACTAAATGTTTTATCGCCAGAGCATGGAACAAATATGGAAGAGGAAATTTCTGAACTATACAAGGTGCGAGATATTTCTACTAATAAGTTATCACAGTTGGCTAATGAAGTGTGTTGTTTGCTAATGGGTAAATGTGTGAATACTAGTTGGAGAAATGCTGTATTGATAATGGATAAACATACTATTGCATGGAAATAATTTGTTGGTGTACATGAACGTTTAATTCAAGTGTTGAACAGTGAGAGTGAGAAAAGGATGGCTTGTGCTGAATACGGACAGCAACAAAACAGGAAATTAGAGTTGGATGCTAAGTTAAAAGAGTGGCGTAAATCAAAGGAAGCTGAACATTTAGATGAGATAGAGAGTAAGAAATCTCATAAATCATCGAAGAGTGGGAGTAGTTGTGGAAGTAGTGCTAGTACAAAATTATCGAGACAGTCTAAAAGAAAGGAAAAAATGGCTCTAGCTCAGTTGAAGTTACAAGAACTGAAAGTTTTACAGGAGTATGAGAGAGAAGAACAGGAGTTGAAAAGGAAAAGAGATCTATATGTTGCAGAGATGGAAGCGAAACAGGCAACAGTGTCCTACCAAATTGTTATGGAGCAAGACTCAAACAGTTGTGACTTGAATGTACCAATGGGTGTGTCAGTTGCTAAACAACAATTGAGGGTACCAGACCCACTGGTTAATGATAAGCTTGAAAATTCGTGTGTAGCATTTGACGAAAATGCACCTGTTGAACAAAGTCCTACTTTAAAATCGACAGCGTCAAAGTCCCCAGAGCAAAGAATTGAGGCATCTTATGGTGAAGGGATCGCAAAGGTGCTGCAACAAGTAGTGAATGCACCCAAGATTGAGTATATCAAGTTTAATGGAGATCCATTGAGGTATGTGACATTTATTCACAATTTTGAATCATGTCTAGAGAGGGACAATCATGATGAGGATCGAAAGTTGCAACTGTTAATACAACATTGCACGGGTAAAGCCCGAGAATCGATTGAGAGTTGTGTGAATTTACCTAACGGTTATAAAGTAGCAAAACAAACATTGCAAGAGAACTTTGGGAAAGCTCACATTATTGCTGAAGCTCATATCAGTAAGCTTTTAAGTTTACCCGATCTCAAAACTGCAGATGGGCCATTGTTGTTAGAATTTGCAAGGCAATTGACTATAACTGAGCACACTTTGGATGGTATGGGAACTGCTTATGTTTCAGAGCTGAATCACATGACTACATTAAGAGAATTGGTTAAGAAATTACCGATGTTTCTGAGAGCGAAATGGACTGATCTTGCAGGTGGAATTTTGGAATCTGGTAGTCGCCCGAAGTTCAAGGACTTAGTGAAATTTGTCAACAGCCGTGCCAAATTGGTTAACAATGAGTTTGGTAATGATATGAATAGAGGCAAATCTGCACGGCCTTTTGAGAAAAGAGTAACCAAAGGGATTTCCTCGTTTTCCACGGGGGCATCAAGTCAGCAATTTCGTCCAAGAAATGAACAGTCACAGGGACCAAAGAAATGTTCGGTGTGTTCAAACCAGCATGGAGTGTGGCGATGTGATGTGTTTAAATACTTGGATTATGATGCAAAACGTAAATGTGTGCAAGAGAATGGTCTGTGCAACAAGTGCCTGGATAGGGGGCACATCAGTAAGAACTGTCCGAAGACCCGATTTCGTTGTCAGGTTGATAACTGTGGTGGAGAGCACCATACGTTGATGCATAGACCAAACAAGTCGTTAAAGGTCTCTGGAGAAAGAAAAGATCCTAGCAAGTCTGGGGAGCAGATTGAGAAGGCAGATGAGACAGTGAAAGGCCAGCAAACTGGGGCCGGTGACAGTACATCCAGCTCAGCTAATGGTGATGGTGGGTTAGTGGTAGGAGCTACTGGTGGTGGAGAAAGTAAAGTATGCCTTGGTGTTATTCCTGTGAAGGTGTATCGTTGCAATAGTGATGAATTTGTTGAAACATATGCATTAATGGATAATGGATCTGAAGTGACATTATGTCATGAGCAGCTTGCAAAGAAACTTGGTCTTGTTGGCAAGAAGATAGAGTATACGTTGACTGGTATGACTGGAAGCACCCAGGTGGAAGGAACAATGGTGAGTTTAAAAGTGAAATCAATGGACGAAAGTACTGTGATTGAATTGCCCAATGTGAAAACGGTAAAGGGGATGCCAATCTCCCCAAGTTGTATACCAAAGCGTGATGATTTATCAAGATGGTCTCACCTAGATGGGATAGATATTCCAGAATTAGAAAAGGGAGAAGTGATGCTGCTAATTGGTGTGAAAGAAAGACCTAGTTTGTTCCTGCCTTTGGAATATAAGATGGGTGAAGAGACAGAGCCTGTAGCAATTAAGTATAGCCTTGGATGGACAGTGATCGGTCCAGTTGGAGGAAAGAAGGTGGACCCTAGCTGTGGGGTGAATTTGATTCACATGGGTACTCCTACGTATGTACCTATTTATGCTGCTGAGCAAGAAAACGGAGTAAGCTGTGTGTGCATGGATGATGATGACAGTCAGGAGTTTGCTGAAGACTTATCGCATGATGCGCTATTATCTCGTAGACTGGAGAGAATGTGGAATACCGACTTTGCTGATACAGGTGTTGATATAAGCGTAAACCCGTCCATAGAAGATCGAAGAGCACTCGAAGTAATGGAAAACTCAATTGAGATGGTAGAAGGACACTACCAAGTAGCATTGCCTTGGCGCAAAGAAAATCCAGTTTTGCCAAACAACAAAGAAATAGCGGAGAGAAGACTTGGCTCATTGAAAGCCCGGTTGATGAAGGATCCAAAACTTTTGGAGAAATACAAGACTGCGGTAGAAGATTATATCAAAAAGGGACATGCACAAAAGATCCCAGAAGAAGAATTAGAACGAAAGGATAGACCGGTGTGGTACCTGCCACACCATCCTGTGACACATCCGATGAAGCCTGAGAAGGTCAGGGTAGTATTTGATTGTGCGGCCAAACACAATGGTACCTCCCTTAATGACCAATTGTTGCAAGGTCCCGATTTGGCAAATTCGTTGGTCGGAGTGTTGATTAGATTTCGACAGGAGCCAGTAGCCTTGGTGGCGGATATAGAAGGAATGTTTAGCCAGATAAGAGTTGACCCAAAGGACTGTGATGTCTTAAGGTTTCTTTGGTGGGAAGGTGCAAACCTGGAAGCAAGTCCAACAGAATATAGGATGGTTAAACATGTCTTTGGTGCAACTTCATCGCCCAGTTGTGCCAATCTCTGCGTCAAGAAGTTGGCTTCTTCTAGTGAAGGAAAGTTCGATCCTGAGACAGTCAAGACAGTAGAAAGAAATATGTACGTTGATGACTTGATGAAGTCTGTATCGGACAACCATACAGCAAATCGTCTGGTGGCACAGTTAATCGAGTTAATGAAGAGTGGTGGTTTCCGGTTGACAAAATGGATCAGTAACGACCGACGAGTGTTATCAGAAATCCCAGAATCTGAGAAGGCCAGCTCGGTTGTTAGTTTGAATGTTGAAGATCTTCCGACAGAAAGTGCCCTTGGTCTCAAATGGAATGTGGAGAAGGATGAATTCGTATGGGAAGTGCAGGAAAAGATGTTGTTGTTATCTGGTCAGAAACCTGCGACAAGAAGAACTATATTATCTATCGTGAGTTCACTGTTTGATCCTTTGGGGTTCTTAGCACCCTATATTATGAAGGCAAAGTTGATATTGCAGGAATTATGTCGAAATGGAGCTGGTTGGGACGCTGTTATTGAAGAGAATGAGAAGAACCAGTGGAGTCGCTGGCTCGAAGATCTAAACAAGTTAGAGAAGATTAGCGTGAAGCGATGTTTTAAACCTCGGGACTTTGGCTCGATAAAGGAAGTTGAGTTGCACATATTCTCAGACGGATCACGCGTTGGGTACGGCGCGGTAGCCTACTTGCGTTTGGTTGATCAGGACGATACTATTCATTGTTGTTTCGTCTTGGGCAAGGCTCGTGTAGCGCCGATACGAGAGATAACTATACCTCGTCTGGAATTGTCAGCGGCAGTCATTTCCGTGAAGTTGAATAAGATCATTCAAGAGGAGTTAGACATCGAAGTGAACAGTGTGACATATTGGACTGATTCGCAGTCCGTCCTAAAATGCATCTGTAATGAATCAAAGAGGTTTCATACCTTCGAGTCAAATCGGTTGACAATCATACATAATGGGTCGTCGGTCGACGAATGGCAATATGTTAGCAGTGAAGATAACCCAGCAGATGATGCATCGAAAGGACTCAAATTGGAAGAGATAGCAAACGGTGGTCGATGGTTGAATGGGCCCGACTTTTTGTGGAAAGATAAGTCATGTTGGCCAGCGAAAGTTTCTCATACGGTCATAGAGGACGATGACCCTGCATTGCGAAAGGCGAATTTGGTTTACACAACGAGTGCAAGTGAAAGCCCGTTGGAATCGTTGATTAAGCGTTATTCAAGCTGGTGGAAGCTGAAGAGAGTGGTGGCTTGGCTTTTGCGTTACCGAAGGAATTTGATGAAAAGAGTTAAAGAGAAGATTGTTGAGAATGTGAACGATAACTTGCGTGGCGAAGAAAGAGTACCAAACCTCACAGTCGAAGAGCTTCGAAATGCAGAGCTAAACATTGTACGATATGTGCAGTCGACATCATTCCCTTCGGTGATAAAGATACTCGGATCTCAACCAGCCAAAATTGGAACAAATCAGAAGAAAACGCTCAAAGATAGCTCACTACAGAAATTAAATCCCGAGTTAAAAGATGGCACGCTGGTGGTTGGTGGGCGACTGAAGCACGCAGGAGTGAATGACGAAGCGAAGCATCCAATAATTTTGCCGTATACGCATCGAGTGACTGATTTGGTTATCGAGCAGGTTCATATTGAAGTCGGACATATGGGTCAAGAATCGGTACTTTCGGCTTTGAGAGAGCATTATTGGATTGTGAAAGGAAGATCGGCAGTGCGACAAGTTATCTCTCGCTGTTTGGAATGCCAGAAAGCAAATAATAAGCCTGGAAAGCAACTAATGGCAGATCTCCCTGAAGAGAGAGTGACCCCATACAAACCACCATTTACCGCAACAGGAGTGGACTATTTTGGACCTTTGGAGGTGAAGCAACGAAGAAGCAAAGTAAAACGATATGGTTGCATATTTACTTGCTTGTCGACGAGGGCTGTCCACATCGAGATAGCCCATTCGTTAGACACTGATTTAATGATCAATGCCTTGAGAAGGTTTATCTGCCTACGTGGGTGCCCAGAGATAATTCGAAGTGACCGTGGAACAAATTTTAAAGGTGCTGACAAGGAGTTAACAGCTGCAATACAGAAATGGAACCAAGAGAAAATCGAGAACTTTTGTAACCAAAAGGGTATTCAGTGGCTATTCAACCCACCAGACGCAAGTCACTTTGGTGGAGTTTGGGAACGGATGATTAGATCAACACGCCAAGTCTTGCGAGCTTTAATGAAAGAACAAGTGGTATGTGATGAAGTTTTGGCGACAGTTATGTCAGAAGCGACGAATATTCTAAACAGCCGTCCACTGACGCGCAACAGTGATGATCCAAGCGACGAACAACCCATAACACCCAATCATCTACTAAGATTGAGACCATGTCCCACTCTACCACCTGGAATTTTTGATGATTCAGATCTACACACTATATGGTGAATGTGTTCTGGAAGAGGTGGTTGAAGGAATATCTTCCTTCTCTACAAGAGCGCCAGAAGTGGAATAACAAGCAACCAAACTGGAAAGTTGATGATCTAGTGCTGATTATGGATGGAAATTATCCTAGAGGACAATGGCCTGTTGGCAGAGTGGTGGAAATCTTCGCGAGTGATGACGGATTGGTACGGACAGTTAATGTAAAAACAAGTTCGACTGTTGTTACACGGGCGAAGCGGCAATGTCGTGGTGAATTGAAAACAACGAGCACAATCCTTACTCGTCCAATACACAAGTTACGTCGGTTGGAACTGGAATAACATTGTTGAAGAGACTTTGATGTTGATATATTAAGAACTACTGACAAGTTGTTGTTTATCAATTTGTAGGATTGGTAGCACTAATTAGATTAAATGGACAAACTCGTCCATTTAGGGGCCGGTGTAGCTACCAATCAGTGTATATATAGAGTTCAGTGGGAAAGCCGCCCCATAAAACATTTCGGGTTTGGACGGCCATATTGAATTTTGAACACGAGAAGTAAACATTTTGAGTATATTTATAGAACATATATTGAGGATTTTGTTAGTAGAAACTTGCTTTATTGAACGACCGATACAGTCGGTAAGTTTTTTGAACACTTATTGTTGACAATTTTAATGTATTTGTATATTAATTTTAGTTTAACTTGCAGAAAACCTGCTGTTTATATTGCTGGAAATAGTAATATACGATATAAAGTGGAAAATAATAGTGGAAAATTGGCGTATATTTGTTGAGTTTTGACTATCGATCGTAAGGGCATAACACCTTTTTTATTTGCCGATGACTCTACACTAATATCCTCCGGATCGGACCTTCACGAACTTAGTGTCTCTCTAAAGTCAGATATGACCTCAGTGTCCCGTTGGACTAACCATAACAAAATGTCTCTTAATCATGGCAAGACAAAAATAATGAAAATATATTCCCAATCCAAATTCCCTGATCTTAGTCCAATAACCATTGAAGTCAATAACAATAATGTTAAGGGGATTACATCCGCCATTCTACTTGGAGTTACATTAGACCAACATCTGAAATGGGATAGGCAAATTAATACCATCTACAATATAATCAATTCTAGACTTTACCTGCTCAAACGTATACGTAGCTATCTCACTTTTCAATCCCGTATTCAATTATATTACGCACTAATCTACCCACACTTGCTATATTGTAGCACAGTCTGGGGCAATGCTAATAACGATCTAATTACGTGTCTACTAAAACTACAGAAACGTGCAGCGAGACTAATTCTTGAGCAGTCAACTGAAGTGCCTTCAATTGTGCTTTTCCGTAAACTCAACTGGATACCTATTTTTAATTTGATCAAAATGAGAAAAATATTATTGGTATTCAATACTTTAAAAACATCTTGGCCGCCGGATCTTCGTAAATTGTTTGTCTTTGTTCGCGACTCTCATCCAATTCCAACTAGATCGTCTATTACAGACTTAAAAGTTCCATCAGTTAAGACCACGCAAGCAAAACCCAAAATTTCCTTCAGTGGTGCAAGTTTATTTAATTCTTTACCTTCCGAATTAAAAGATATTGAAAATCACTCAATTTATTCCTATAAAAAGAAGCTCAAAACCTACTTTATTCAATTGAATTATGAAGTAGATCACGTTAATAAATTCCGCTGCATCGATTGTAAGCATATTACTCATTGTCAATGTTACTCTCAATTGGATTTTCTTTTTATATATTACTATTAGATATCGAGGGCCATTGGGAAGAATACTATATTAAGTAATCAATGTAATCCCTCATTAAATAAAGTTTTATTATTATTATTATTATTCACATGCTCCAATCCAAGGAGATGAACAGTTTCGCCATCGCATTCTGACAAAATGCCATTGTAAACAGCAGCCTTCTCGTCAGTTCCAAATACGCCAAGGTTCTTTAGCGCTGGAATTTCTCGTTTTACAGCTTGCCAGAAATATTGAAATTTCTCTGGGGTCTTGTTACGGTGTACAAGAAGAGGACCAGGAAACCATGGATGTTTTCCAGTTGCTTTCGAGACAATAGAAACATTCTTGTAAGCAGTTTGCGTGAAATAAAACTTGCTGATATTGAAGGTCGTATCGATAGCTAGAGAGACACTGCATTTCATTTGGCTGACGCAAAATCTCTCCAAATCTTTCAAGGTTTGGTCGAGATAAGCCACAATCGAAGGTTGGTTGGCATCGCGCAAAAGGAACTCTCTGATGTATGGTTGTGATCTGTCAATGACAGAGTACGTTCCATGTTGTTTTTGACTTAAAAGCTCAACAATGATATCGTTTAACTCATCAGCTTTTGCATCCTTGCTTTTACCATAGTTGTACCTAGACACATAAAACATCACATTAATAAAGGTACTCACAATAGCACTAAGCACTTGTACCGATTCCCTCACACTATTGGTTTTTCCACGAAGTCTCGCTTTGATCATGACGCATCGTGTTCTGTCAACCTCAACTTCTGTATAAAATGTAATAAATGCCCCTGTAGGGAGGCGTTTAGGCCAAAATATGTGGGTTTCCAGTTTCCTCCTAAGAAAATCTAGGTTGGGTAGATTTGGTTGAAAATCTAGGTTGGGTAGATTTGGTTTGAAAATCTAGGTTGGTCGGTTTCACTTCTATTTTTTTCTTTAAATTTCCTGTTTTCGTTGTGTTTCCACCTGTCAGATAAATTCCTTTGGAAGTTATTAAAAAATTCCTTTAGGCAACCAAATTTCCTTTAAGTGGAAAGATTTGTTCAATACATGCATTAAATTGAACAAAAAAAAGAAAGAAACACTGTGCAACTACTATTGCACACGGTTAAAGAAGAGATTGAGTGACCCAACTAACATCTTGAATGATTGAACCAGAAAATATTCAGAAATCGTGATTCTTGTTGCATTCATAAAATTCAGTCAAGGAAACTGAGTACGAATGACATCAAGAATACTGTGCTGCCTAACCTGCAGCAAGACAGCAACGAATGGTTTTGATCTGTAAGACAGGATTCTGCTACGACAATCCGGGCTTATGGATCAAAGGTTTAAATAACCATGATGTTTTCAACAACAACAAACTAACTAGTATATATTTGTTCACCCCTATATACTGTGACAGAAAAACAGCATCAACAACTGGAGAAAATATTTTTCCAATTTCCATTCTTCATTACGGGGAATGTTGCAGAAAGCATAATATCAAAAAGTGAGAACATATACAAAGTATACATATTTGTAATTTGTTATCTGTTTTGGATCCCTTACAATGGTACAATCGGAATCAATCTCCAATAATTGTATTTCCTCTGTTGATTCCTGGGCGACTATTCTGGGTGCTCGCATATCACTGGCAGCATTTTCTCTTAATTCTACTTTTGTTGAATGCTCTCTTGGTCGGAACTCGGTGGCATTTGCTGACTTGGCATTTCCATGAGGTTGACCATGAATCGGCACCACACGACCACCAGTGAAATAATAGTGCATAATGATGTAAGGATACAGCAAGTTGTAAATCTTCATATCTTTTATTTTTCCTTTGACATTATTATATTCCGCCACAGACATGACAAACATGATAACCCTGTTGAACGAAGACCCTTCTTTTTCCAATGTTTCTTTGTGAACTGCTCTTCTTCGGAATACAGCATGCAATTTGCTCATGTTAGCAGTTTTAGGTTTCCATCCTTCACTTGTTCGCTTGTTGTACGTTCCTGCAATAATACGCCCATTTCTATCACGAGTAACATGGACCTCCGAACTTATTATTAATTTGTCCTCATTTCCCTCAACTTCGTAGAAACTAACATTGTCTTTTTTCGTAAAAGCTCCTGAAATATCGTCAGCATCTAAATCAAAAGGATGCTTTAACCCGATACCACCTTGGTTAATGACAAATGTTGCACTTTGGTGAATTCTTAAAGGTTTCTGTTTGACCAACTTTTCTGGTTCCGGACCAAACTTGCATACTTTAATAATTTCTTCGAGTTCCGGGCTTTTGGTATGAAGCAGTGGCAAGTTTCGATTTCCTTTGTAGTAAGAAATTGGACTTGGAACCTAGATTAACAATATAATAATTACATGCTAGCTAACCATCTAATCGTTTAACCAACTATTGCACAGTATATATTGTAGTGAATATTAATTAACAGCAGCTCTTTAAATGTTCCAATTTTTATAGGCAGTCGATCTCCCCCCCCCCCACCCCCCAAAAGCAAAGTATACCCACAATATATTACCCACTCTCAATGTGCCAGGAAAACAAATGCCTGTGGAGGAGGTTGAAAATCCCCCCCCCCCCAGAATTCACGTTTTAGGGGGAGTCACTATTTTTAGACTTTTGTAATTTTGTATTCTTTTGTATTTTAAAATTAACCTTAGTCCTAACCCTAACCCTTACTCTAATCATATAAACCCTAATCATAATCCCAACCCTTACTCTAATCCTATAAACCCTAATCTCAATCCTACCCCTTACTCTAATCCTATAAACCCTAATCTTAATCCTAACCCTTACTCTAATCCTATAAACCCTAATCTCAATTCTAACCCTTATTCTAACCCTATAAACCCTAATCTTAATCCCAACCCTTACTCTAATCCTATAAACCCCAATCTTAATCCCAACCCTTACTTTAACTCTATAAACCCTAATCTTAATCCCAACCCTTACTCTAATCCTATAAACCCTAATCTTAATCTTAACTCTAATCTTAATCATACTCCAAATCCTAACCCTAAATGTCTAAAAATATTAACTCCCCCTAAAACGTAATTCATGTGGAAAAACGTCGCAAAAAATGCACATTTTGCCGATTTTGAGTTCGTGCTGACACCATATTTTACGCCACCGTTTTGGCAGCAAGTGTCATGCGGTTATCAGATCCAGAAATGTGAGGACACATTGATCATAGACATATAGACATTTGGTATAAATATATATTGTATAGTTAAACTAAGGGTAGTTTTAAGTAAAACGTATTACCAAAAATAAATTTGCTTTATGTTACTTTTGTTCCCTAATACAAATAAAAATTATTATTTATTATTATATACCTCATTGCTATGGTTTGCAGTTGGTATCTCGTCATATCTCTTACTGCCACTGGTGACACTGGAATCAATCGATTTAATATCTATGCCGTCGTTAAAAACAATACTTCTCCTTGCAGAACGAATATTGTCTTCGTACTCATCACTTAAGACTATAGGTTCGGATTTAACTTCCCCTCGACGCTTACAACTTGTAGGAACTTCAGGCTTTTTAGGACTAAATTCCTTTCGTTTTAGAGTACTGTCAGCCATATTTACATGTTTCGTGAAGAGTCACGTGTGTCTCTTATCCGGTCGTAGCCTCGTAGCCTGCATGTCAAGCTCTGTGCTTGATTGCCATTGGTCAGAAATTATTAGCCTTGCCTTTTAAGGTAATATCAAGTTGTTGTTTACTAATATGACACTCCGTGCTACAAATTGTATTATTATTTAGTATGTAATTCCTGGCCGTCAAATCGCTGTCCAATTTTTATCGACGACTTTACTAGCAGGCTCTATTTCAAGCATAGAGCCTGACACGCAGGCTAATCCGGTCGGAAAAGAGACCCGTATTCAATACCCGGGCAACGCTTTTCGATATTTGCAAATACAAATTGTTTAAAATAGCTTTTATTCTTATTTTATGATTTTTAAACACAGAATTCACTCGTGGTCACTCGTGGTCACTCGTGGTCATTCGTGGTCACTCGTGGTCACTCGTGGTCATTCGTGGTCACTCGTGGTCACTCGTGTGTACTTTTAGACAAGACACCACCGCGACACGAAATTTAGAGCTATATGAAAGTTGCATGCCATATATGGCATGCAACAAAAATTGTACATCAACAAATATGTCAATATACACTACTTCAACAGAATTGGTTGATTGCATTACGGCAAACGTCAAACTGCTAGCGAGGTTTTTGATTTTACAACTCTATTATTATAGCTTTTACACCAGTTTTGAAATATGTTAAACTTATTAAACTTGTGCTCTTTAGCAATGATTTAAGAAAGCAAATTAACCACTAAATCATGCCATTCACTAAAGCATTAAATTAAGATTTGGCGTTTGAAGTTGACGTTTGGCGTATAAATTTCATGCTTTAACGACTACAAGCACTCGTAGCAGTTCAACCATGAAATTTATACGCCAAACGTCAACTTCAAACGCCAAATCTTAATTTACTGCTTTGGTGAATGGCATGATTAGCGGTTAATTTGCTTTGTTAATTAAATCATTGCTAAAGAGCACAAGTTTAATAAGTTTAACATATTTGAAAACTGGTGTAAAAGCTATTATAATAGAGTTTCGCTTCGCCTCAGCTTCGCTTCGGCAGATAACATTGACCTCGGTCTGAATAATTAACAATAATTCTACGAACGTACTCGAGTTGAATATGAGCTGATAGGCGATGAGGCGTCTAGCGCCGAATCGGCTATCGCTCATATTCGACAAGAGTGTATGGAATAACTGTTTTATTATATACACAAGGTCAGAATTCACAGACTTTGCTTTTCGGATATTTTCAATATTTTTCTATTTTGTTTATGTTTTTATCTTCGCTCTTTCGGTCGGTTATTTTTTCCAAAATATGTATTTTTAACCAATTTAAATTTTAAAATTCATTTGCTAACCTGTAAACAATTTGTTGGAGTTCTTTCATTGTGTTTTTAATCTTGTAAAGGCTATAAAAAGCGAACAACTTACCGTTTTCTCGTTCGCTAAACGTCGGAAATTCAATTTGAGCCGCCACCTTTGTTTTCCTCTACAGCAGGATATGAGCTATCAGTATTTTTGCACAAGTGAACATGCATAACAAATCCTACACGTTGATTGGTTAAATTTTATTCAGACCTTGGTCAATGTTATCCGCCTCAGCTTCGCTTCGGCAGATAACATTGACCTCGGCTGAATAATTAACAGTTACTCTACGAACTCGAGTTGAATATGAGCTGAGAACAAGAACAATAAGAACATTTAATTTCTGGCAGGCATATTAGTTAATTTATGCATAATTAGCAATTCACCTAGGATGATGCATGGTCATTTTCTTGCATTTTCTTACACTATAAGCACTTCGGAAAGCCTGTCGCTTTTCGTTTTCAGAAGTTGGAGCTATGTCGGCACTGCCGTTTTAGGGCGGGGTCATTTTCAGGACTTTCGACCCGTATTCAGGTTTTGGCACATATGCCATGTTGACCGCCATGGTCATTTTACCCTAAAACAGTTGAGATTACCTGTGCTAAATGAAACGCATACAAACATCTAGGTATACAGGTCCTAGACTATATTGATAACTTTCATAAACATCCCTCTAACATGACGTTCCAGGTCTTTAAAGCGAGTCACAAGTGTGCATATGTGACCTAACAGTACCGCGTCGTGATTTGTTTGTAGCCTTTAGTTATTAATTAGGCTATTCGTTAATTTTACAAATACTGCATGGTTCAAGTAAAAACGACATGTTTTGAACAGGATACGGAAAATGACTGACTTTTTTAAACATATGTATTAACTGGCATTCAATGTTGGTTATGAAATAGTAAAAAAGTAGTTTTCCGTATGCCGTGCATATATAACGTTCCGTTTTTACTTGAACCATCCAGACACAAATATTGTTAATCAAAACTGTGTGGCTTTCTTCGTGTTTGGGGAGACCATGAACAGCTACATTTAGTACAAAGATTTGCTCGTCTGTAACTGAAAGGAATTAAAACCGTTTGTTTGTGTTCGAACGTGAATTAATAGTGCAACGATATCCTGTACGTATTCTGATTACATGCTTATAGCATCACTTGTATGAAACTTAGCATTAACTGGGATGATAATTAATAGTAATACTGAGAACAATTTTGTTGCACTAGTCGACCTTTAAACTTGATCTTCTCATAATATTTGTTTATTTTTCAGGTAATTGATCAAAAGCTACATGGTGGATTCATAGATATCTTATATACACTACATAGTGCATCTAAGTATTCTGCAATTCAAGAATTGAAGTCGTGATTGCAGGCTCAGGGTATTCCCATGAAATGAGAAGATTGGTATGTTTTCTATTTCTTAAACAGGGAACTTAAACATTAAGTTAAACCTATTCCAAATACATTTTTAAATTATTCAAACGATGAAAGTTATTGTTCTTTTTAAGCGTTTATTAGCGAGTGCGAAACTCCAACATGGCCGCCATATATTCAAATGGAGGTAACCGCTGGAATATTCTTGGCCTCAGTTTTACTAAAGGAGATACGCTATCTAGTGTATATAAGATATCTATCGGTGGATTCCGTTGGCGAAGTTAAACATGTTGATTTATGTCATACAGAATAAACAATGATTGGTATAGTTGTAGTATTTGGGATAAATAAATAAAAAAATAATATCACTGTTGAAGATTAAATAAATTTCTGTTAAAGAGAGAATGGACACGTTTTGTTTTCAGTGGCGTAGCCAGCCCGACAATTTAGTGCCGCTATGCAAATTCAAAATTATTATCATTATTCATTTCTTTAGAAATTGATTGTTTTCACAGTCAATGAACATGAAAATATTTGCATGGCGGGACCAAATAGTCGGGCTGGCTACGCTACTGTTTGTTTTTTCCCTTTTAATAATAAACTTAACTTCTATTAATGCTGGACATACCATGAACAGATCGAAACCTAGTACATTCACTGGTTTTCATCGCGGTTGTAGAAACATTGCAATGACGGATATAGGGTAGTTGGGGGTGGGTTGTAATTGACAAAACAACGCCGGTAACATAGAAATAGCTTACTTGCAGAATTATAACTAGAATTACGCATGTTATTAAGAAAATTGCTACTATGCATTGTTAGTCAAATTTGTCTACCGGTATAGTCTTAATTGATATCGCGTGACACCAACACTTTTCGTTTTGATATAATATTGGCTTTCCAATCTGAAGTGAACTCGCAACAATACGTATTTCTTTGCTGGGAAGGGTTGGAGTTCAGAAAGCGCCTACATTAACAAAATCGTGCGTTCAAATTTCATCACGTTCCCAAATCTATCCAGCCCTGTGCCTGCGCCTTTATGAAAAAGAAAAAATTGATAAGTATTCGTTTCCTGTTAATATGGAAAACTATAAAGTTCCAGTTATATTAGATTCAAACCCTTATAGACATACATGCAGGAAGCACATTTGAAGTCTAATATAACGGGAACTTTATTGTTATAGCTCACGTCATAAACGCTAGCGAGCCACCATCTTGCATGGACATAACAGGTTCAGGCTATATACCGTTCCCTCTATACAAAATTCGCTTACCATGTCAAGTCATGTTGCTCTTCTTAAAGCCTGGTTCACACTAGCCATTCTGTCGGCGATTTTTCTTCTCCTGGCAAATGTGATCGAATGAATGATATGCAAAAGGCTTAGGCCTGTTTCAAACGTCGCGCTTCCCATGTGCGGAACGCATTAAAAACAATAGATAATCAGCAGCCTAGTACCAGTCGTTCTGAAGCAAGCGCGAGAAAAAACGTGGATGTAGTACGAGACTGGGACCTAGGTGTGACGTCACCGCTAAAGGTGCTTCAGAACGCCTAGCAGATTTCAGTCATTTTTAATATGGCGGAAAATTTATATTTACAAATAACCTTGTAAATACGACAATGTTCGTTGATCATGTTCGATGTCTGCATAACCAAATTCAAACTGTATTAAAAGTGTGCTCAATTAAAAAAAAATTATATACAAATTTACGATACTGTGTCTGAGCAATGGTTGTATAATCGTTGATGATATTTATATACTCGCAAGTTGTGATTAACACTATAGACCATACTGGTATACACAACTACGCGGCTCTACTTGACAGGTTTAAGTAGCTGAGGAGATTGAAAATATTTGCCTGACATGACTGTGTTGTCAAAACATTTTTAGTCGGAGACTCGATCGGCATAATTTTCAAGCTTCTAGATAGCATTTAATATGGCTTTATATTTTAGTAAACACGAGTCATATTTAGCCCGTTATTCCATTCTGACCGTATGGTAGCGAAATGTAGCCTATTTCATTGTTCCAACAGCATTAGAGTAAAACTAATGACTTAATTATAAACGCAAAGGAAATTTCCATAACATTTTCTATTTACAAATGCGATATGCTTGGTAACCAGGCCAGGGACCACTTTTTTGAAATCAGGGACAATTTTACCGAAATCTGCTAGGCTCTCTCGCTGAAGCGTTCCGTACAGCACACCCAGGCATAAAACTTTTAAGAGTTATTTGAATATATCAAAGCAGCGAATAGAGAGAGAGCCTGGGACTAGGCTGGATAATCAGCTGAAATGCCTCATTATCTATTGTTTCCAATGCGTTCGGCACATGAAAAGCACGACGTTTTGAAACAGGCCTAAGAATTGTTTACTTCTGAAAAGCGACACAATATACTTAATTTGTGTGCGAGTTTACTCATTTGCATTCGTCAGAAACACAGAATCGCCGAAAAAGTGCTAGTGTGAACCAGGCTTATTAATTAGCATGTCCCGGCTGGCCTAAATTATCAAAACTTGTTTCATAGCGCTGATTACAACATTGAATGGGGCATTGAAATTAACTTTGCTATGTTGGGTGGAATAATGTACAGCTTTATATGCAAGATTGTAGTATCTATGAGGCGGGTTATATATTGTTATTGGAATGTTAGGGTTTGGAATCCAAGTGAGAATATATACATTTTAAGACCTAACCAGGAACGACTGCGAAAAATGCAGCACAAGATCCTCTGGTAGGAATCGAACCTACGGCCCTGCGATTCCGGTGCAGGGCCGTTGGTTCGATTCCTACCAGAGGACCTTGTGCTGCATTTTTCGCAGGCGTTCCTGGTTACGTCTTAAAATGTATATATTCTCACTTGGATTCCAAACCCTAACATTCCAATATTAATTCTACCAAGTGAAGTGCAGAATCTAAGTCATGAAGTCCTATATACATTGTTATTGCATGCTGGAAACAGGAAACAAATACTGATAACAAATGAAAGTAAGACTATGAGGGAAAGAGGGGTATTCGTTTCCTGTTAGTAGCTATAAACATAAGTTTCTCCTTATTCTGATTCAAACTGAGCTTCTTTATAGAATAAAAGAAGCAGAGTCGAAGTCTAAAATAATAAGAACTTTTGAACATGATTGATGGGCCTATATAGATATGTCCTTTGTTGTGATGGCTGTTTTTAATTAAGAATTCATGAGGAGGCGAAAAATGTGATCTATGTATTTCCTGTATGCAACTCCCGTTTCCTCAATCTAAAAGTCGAATACCGTTATTTGTAATTCTCAATTTGTATCTCATCTTCGTAGCGAGACAAGTCAAGATTAATTAGAGGTAAGTCATTCCCATTAAGGTTTTTGCAAGCTAGCAATACATTAGTTTCAAATCAGTTAAAGGCCCTGTACGTCACACAATTGCGTATAAGAGAAACGTATGAGAAACGTATGAAAATTAATGAAATAATTTTCATACGCACAAAAATCCTTTGATATGTCAGCGAATGAGTAGCGTACATCTGGCGTACCTCTATTCAGCATGCTTAAAAAAAGTTTCTGCCTCGCCGTATGCCATCGTGCTTGAAATGTATACAGTACAACTCCTTTGCCTAACGTACTCCTAGCGTAAGTCAGCGTTTTCCAGCGTATGAGTGATATTTTTCATACGCTGGACTACGCTAGTACGATATGCAATAGTGTGGCAAATAAGGCCGGGACACACCGGACGCGATTCGTTTAGGGGACGCGATTTTTCAGTTTCTGAAAGTTAATAAAACAGCCAATGAAAAGAAATGTTATAGCGCTTCTACCAGGCCCATTTGAAAACTTAAACCAGGTTATACCAGGATCAAAGTTATCGGTCACTCAGTGAAAATCGAAAAATCATTTCGCGTTGTCGAATCGCGTCCGGTGTGTCTGGACCTTTAAAATCACTTCGCGTTGTCGAATCGGGTCACACACCGGACGCGATTCGACAACGCAACGGAAGCGATTTTTCGATTTTCACTGACCGATAACTTTGATCCTAGTTTAAATTTTCCAAGTATTTAGAAGCGCTATAACATTTTGAGTTATTTGGTCTACATAACTTTCAAAATTTGCTCTCATTGGCTGTTTTATTAACATTCAAAAACTAAAAAATCGCGCCGCGGTGTCGAATCGCGTTCGGTGTGTTAAGGCCCATAGAGACCGGACGCGATTTGGCAACGTGACGCGAATTTCCAAATATTCAATGACATTTTTCTATGTTTTTCAAATATTCGTAACGGCTTAAGCAATTTTAGCTATTTGTAATATCTTGTAAATTTTTTATCTGTTGTAAATTATATTGTAAATATCTTGTAAATTTTTTATCCGTTTTATCCCCCTTCCTTTCGCCCACCACTCCAAAAAAATTTTCCTGAAAGCAAAAATTTTCCTGGGAAATGTTGGCAACGGTGGGTGGGTCAACGATTTTTTGGCAAAAATAAAACGTCTTAACCACAGAATAAAGATCAGTAACAGAAGGGCCACTCAGCGGTGCAACATGTCCTCGTTTTTTTATGCAAAAATATGCAGTTTACTGGCCAGAAGGCGGAGCAGCCAGCCAGTACAGCGTGTTTATTGGCCAGAAAATGTCATTGACTGGCTAGGAAAATGGCGGCCAACATGCGTAATGCGACATGCGCGAGGACAGAAACTTCAAAGCTTCCGACGTAAGTGGCCCTTCTATATGGATCTTTATTCTATGTCTTAACTCTTTAACGACACGACCCTATTACCGCAATGCTTGTAAGCAATACGCTTTGCCGATTTAATATCTTCGGTTCATTGAATGCTATGAGGACAAAAATACCACCATTCGATTCAGTGTGACAAGATCTCCTCACTCGTAGCAATAGTTTTAGTCATTGGCAACATTATAGCGATTTATGAGCTTTAAAAGTAAAGTGGGATCGAATACGATCAAATTACGCATTTTACCAACAAATTATAAAAACATAAACATACCTTACGCTGAATATAACTTCGGCCCCTTGAAACGTATGCTCATTGCGATATTCTTGATGAATTAATCATTTAAAATGCCATGTATAACGTTATTTCCAAGCTTCTATCCTGAAAGGGTGACTTTTAGTGCCGAATTTTACATTTTTGCTCCGAATTTGCGATAATCCCAACCGGAAATACGACGAAAACTCGTCAAAACAATGCCACGCTTGTATCGCGTGACTCTGGAAATGCCAGAAATGGATTCTACAGGTCAAAGTGCACCCACACGCATGAGTTTGACGTCATCCCGGCTAAAGGGAGCTCCTTATTGGCCAAGTATTACGTAATACAAGCGCGTGCGAGTAAAACCCGATACTTTAAAAATTCAAAATAAATATTTCTACTCGTCATATTCATACGAAACTTTCTACACTAAAGCGCTTGAATACAAATTTATATTTGAGAGTATTTTGCACATATAGCCTTTCAGAAAATGACGAAAAGTTTGGAAGATATTCAACTTTTTCTCTTTTTATCGTTTGAATGTTTGGCGAAGCGGTGAGTATAACTATATGATTGTTTCGGTTTGTATAATGTTCGACAGCACTTGACCCCCCATTCGAAAGGTTATTTTGTGAGGATTACAATGGTGGGTTTTGTTTTAAAGGGGGGTAAATACTCGCCGCGATATTTACATTTGAAAAATTGAATTGTAATGTAATGCGAAACTACTTGTCGACAAGGAGTTTTTTTTCCAAACGCTATTCTGGGGGGTTAAAGATACTTTTTCAGACCTTTTTCGACCTCAATTTTTCAAAATTTTCCTTATTAGTATAAATTTTGCATATCAAGTGAGCTTTCGCGCGTCCTGATTAGCTAGTTGGCCGGTAAATCTGGCAGGGTGGTCTATACTTCACCTGCCAAGTGTTGGGTTAGAATCATCTAAAAAAGTATTTTACTATCATGGATGTGTTGTCTTTAAAGCGGCAGTGTCACCCGCTGCGCATCCGTTCTGCGCATAACAAACCGATTTTCGGAATATGTCGGAAAAGGTCGGAATCACAACATTCCGACTATAAAAATGTGCATATATTCACATTTTCGGCGGCGGAAAAGACCAAATAATTGCTTCATTTCACACAGGTTAACAATTATAGTTGTAAAAGTTCATGTGCCACCAAAAGAAACGAGAACAGTAACCGAGGTTGCCCGCGTAAGGCAAATATTAAAGAACGTTGTGCATTCTGCCAGCTGCAAGTGTGGAGAACTCGCAAAACTCCTCAGTCTCCTTGCAAGAATAGGGTATGTGTGCGAATCAAATGTACTTGACGGTATCTTTTATTTGTGTTTGCATATTATACCACATTATATTTACTGTTTATCCTACTTTGTTGTAGGAGAACGTTTGCGAAAGTACCATGTAGTGCATGTACTTCGTG